CACACACACACACACACACACACACACACACACACACACACACACACACACAGTCTATGTGTGCCATCTTTAATTATTTGGGCATGCTGATTGAGCCATATACTTCTAGAAACTGGCCTTTTTTGTTTGTGCATGTTTTTAGTACATTTGTACATTTGAAATTATTTGCAAAAGCATTTAAGTTACAGGCACAGAACGAGTATGAGCTTGACCTGGGGACTCCCTGCCTTGGTTTAACAGTATTTTAGAGGACAGTTTTATACCCAAATTGAGAAATTACCCCTTTTTTAATTCAATGGACCAAATATAATTGAACAGGTGATACTTTAGAAAAATTACCAAACTTAACTGTAGTTTTTAATTGCTTTCTCTCTATAGTGAAGCACACTGACTTCAATGCGGCTGAACTGACAGTTTTCAGCTTTATTCGAAAGATGTTAATATTCACATCAGATGAACAGCGTAGGAACTCTAGTCTGTACTCAGGGCCAGACTGAAATACTAATTAAGTCCTACAGTCTGGAATCAGCTCAGGCCAGTCTTCACACATTTAAAGCAGGTCACAGGCTGAAAAAATTTTCGAGCGAGTATTTTCTTTTCTATTTTCTGTTTATTAAAATCTTTTATTCTCAATGTTACATTGTATCAAAGAAAACTCCACTGCAAATATCTATATCTCAGTGGTATCGTCTTGTTCATTAACATTGTTGATGCGATTTTGACAATGTTTTCAAGCTGAAAGCACACAGTCTGATGTGCACTCGTCTTTACCTCAGTTTTGAATCGAAATATTAATAGCGTTTGTCCTGATAAATCATGAAGGTAATTTAGTCCTAACAAACTGTTAACTCAGCCATTTAGTGAAGTGGAAAAAATTACCATCAGTGTTTAATTACTGTAGCTCTTTTCAATATGTCTGCATTTGTAATCAGTGACCAGCAGGCCATTCAGAAGCCTAGGGCATCCCAGCTGACACTGGGTAAAAGTCCATCAAGGGCTGAGACACAAACACTCATGCGCTCACTTGCGTGAATCAGGTTGCAGTCATTAGTTATTGCTAGCACGCCTGCAAACACGGGGAATTATGCCCGGACAAGAGGTCAACCGCTGTACCGCTAAGTCGCCCCTCTTATTCATTTCAAATCCAATGTGCATAGATAAAAAACAGAGAAAGGTGTCACTGTCCTATACTGTATGCAGCTTAAAATACAGCTGTGTGATGCTCTCATACTGCAAGACTGAGAGTGTGGTTCACAGACACAAAGTTTGACAGTGCAACATATGTACTGTATACGTGTATGTTTTAGAGAGAGAGGGGAGTTTTTATGACCTCTGTTCAAATTGCTCACTGATCACTGACAGTGATGTGCGGTCAGAGCTGCTGTATTACACCACTGGGACAGGCATCTGTGATCTACACCTTCATTTCCATTCGATGTGACACTGACAATCTTTTCTTCACCATCCACTGCCCACACCGCCCGTATGTGTGAGAGAAAGTGTGTGTGTGTGTGTACGCACGTGTGTGTATCCTCAGTCTGTGCTGCAATCCTGTTTACCTAGAGGCTCCCTCTCTCTTTCTGTGAAATAAAGGCAGGTGTTGCTTGCATCACAAGGCCAGACCAAATGCACTGTAAATAGATTTGACACACACAAATAGCAGAGAGGACGATGCAGATTGTGCTTGCGGTGTAGAATTCTAATGTTCTTCCAGCATGTGTTATCAGGCACCGCTTCGAAGGAATGGAGAGAGTATATTACCCCCTGTGGTGCGTGTATGTGTGGGCAAACCTGCGTGTCACTAGTTCGGTTTTCCATTAGAGATGGTGCCTTTTTTCCAAGATTGTTCCTTGTGGTCATCATGAAGCCTCTATTTACCAGTCGTCCACCTCTAGAGATAGCCTGTCATTCAGAGTGATTGACAGCCAGTCTTTTAAAAGAGAGAACTTTCAGTCATAAGCCATATACTACTGCCTGTGTGTGGCTTTTACTCTAGTTCAGTTAAAACTGATGCTGTAAGTAAAGTACAAGAGTTAGTTTTTAAACAGCTGCGCTTGTGAATTCTGACCATTTCTGAAATAGTAGACACTGGTTCTTCAGCAGTCAGTTCCAAACTTCTTTTTAAATTGCTGTCTGTAGTTGAATGCTGATTCTACATAGTTTCTAACATTGCACTTTCAAACAAGAAAGCTCTCTGTCCTCTTTGATTCAGGTGTGGAATGAATCTATTGTTTCCAAGTGGAGACTTGGAAACAATAGAATGAGAATACAGACCCTTTTGTTATTAGTAAGCAGATATCTTTCCTTTCCTATAAAGTAGAAATTCTTCCTTGGTATTCTAAAGAGCTTGGAAAGAAAAGCATCTGGACTTCTCTAGGTTTCTTGAAGATGTTTCACCTCTCATCTGAGAAGCTTCTTCAGTTCTAAGAGCAATTGGTGGAGAGTCCCAGATTTTAAGCCCTGTGGGAGTGTCCCCAAGAGGGTCATGGACCCCCTATTGATCCTATTGAGCCTAATCACACGAGCAAAGGTGTGAAAATGGGTGTAGGTCACAATCAGCCAAGGTTTCAGGTGAACCATTGTGAAACCTAGGCTACGTCCACACTAGCCCGGATAGATTTGAAAACGGCGTTTTCGTCTGAAAACGCTCCGCATCCACACTAGCATTTTCAGTCTTTTTCACAGAGTTGTGCGCCCACAAAACGGCCAAAAACACTCACGTTCCAGTTCTGCACATGTGCAAAAGCGAGTGAGACTTAAGAATTTGAAGAAAAGCTATCTGGAGCATGTACAAACAGATATTAATCTTTTTTAGGGCTGTCAAAAGTGAGAGCAATCAAAACAACTTCTGTATAATGCCCTCCGCTATCTTTGTTTAATTGGTCACATGACTGCATCACATGCGTCATCGTTTTAGAAAGTCTGTGTTTTCGAGTGTCCACACTGCTATGGGACAGCTCCGTTTTGAAATGTATGGGTTTGTGAGAGCGTTTTCAAAACGCTGCTTTTTTCCTCAGGAAAAACACAGTCTCATTGTGGACGTAGCCCTAGTTCAACATTTATTAGACTCTGAGTCACAATATTGGTGAATCTGTAAAGAGTATTTGTGAGTTTGCAGCAGATCATCTCTCATTTCTCAGGTATAGTCTCACTTTTCAAAATTATATTAAACAATCTTGTGAAAAAGTCCATCGCCCTTTTCCTAGACATCTTCATCCTGATCATAGCCCTCATGTCCTGATTACTGATCCTTAATCAGGTCCTCAAAGTAGTCCTTCCATCTTCTCAGCACACTCTCTTCACTTATTAACACATCATCTCTTCATCTCTGTCCTTAATCACCTTAATCTGGTGCATATCCTTTCAGCTCAATTTCTCTGCCTAGCCAACTGATGTTCATGAGCCGCATGTGTGAGCTTTGAGTGAAAAGTCTAAATAACTGACAGTTTTAAATGGATTTATTTTATTTATTGACCAAATTTACTTTTTTTCTTTTTGTTTGTTTTTAGTAGTAATTGACGATAGTGAATATCAAACATGTATCTGCTAAACAGCAGTACTTTTTTTCTTTGTGAGCACATTAATGTGCTCAAAAGGGATCCATTATGGTCTTCCTCATTTTCTATCGCAAATGTGTCATCATAATGGTGAATGATGTTTGAAATGAAGAAGTCAGTGTATGAGCAAGCTATCTAGGAGTCAGAAGCTGAAGCGTTTTACTGCTTTAGGTGCTCTGTTTCAGACCATTTTTTCAACTCTTGGGTCTGTATGGTGTCAGTAGTGTCCTTATATGGTCGTCTCAGGCACGCCGCTCTAGCCATGAGCAAAGAAGCCACACCCACCTGCTGTTTAAATCTCCTGTACCGGGATTTGCCAAAGGCTGTGTTTAAACTGTTGTAAATAACTTGTTGGCCTGTAATCTGTGAAACATATGTCAAACCCATCTCCCTTGAATGATGAAAAGTCATTCTAAGCCACAATCAACATTCCTGTCACAAGGGTAGAATGACTCTGTTTACCAATATTTCACATAAAAAAACACACAGAAACATTAATTTTGACACAACACTGGCAGCTAAGCAGAAGATAGGGGAAGAGGGCTATAGGGGCATGTTTCATACAGTGACGGGGTTTGCATTAAGGCCCACTGATAATTAGAGTTTATTTCTAAGTCTAAATCGTGAAAGCTACACTAGTCAAGCCCAAGAGTGTGATTGTGGAGATAGAAATGAATATGTCTTTATTTATATTGTCTCCTTTTCTCTTTTCACTTCACCCTCCCTCTCTGTTGCCAGGGCATTATTCAGGATGTGAAGCTGATTTTTGCTCCCAACGGCTACATCACACAGTGTCCAAACCTTAACCGTAGTAAGTACCGTGATTAAATTCATGCATAGTATTGAGTATTAACAACATGACAGAAAAAAAAAACTTTAGTTTTATTAGTGTGTGCTATTGTCAGCTGGTGGTCACCTCTATGGAAAGCTTTGAAAGGCTCTGTCTCCTCGGGTAAAACCTCTCTCCATTTTTGTCTCCTTCCTCTGCTCTGGCAACGTGGCTTTATTGTGCTGTATATCAGATTCAGTGCAGCTTCTCTCTTTGGCTCCTCCATCTGTTTACTGTCAAAAAACAGATTAAGATACAGGGCCACCGCTGCACTACTGTCTCTGTCACTTGATCAATAAGGCAATCACACCTGGGTGCTTTATTGCTGATACTAACAACAGGCTCAATCCTAAGACAAAGAGTCTACAGCTATGTAAAGCTTCCCTTTTGTTTACTGTTGGGTGAGCTGTGGCCAAATAAATGTAGTCATTCTAATGACTTCTGTCTTCTCCTCTGTTAATCTCCTATTTAAATGCTTTCCTGTTGCTTTTCTTTTCTTTGTCTCTTCTTTGTTTTGGTGCTTGCTGTTCATCCCTTGAGCCTGTCCCACCTGCAGTGATTTTCTGAGCCTGGTGCAAGGCATCATGGACCTTCAGGAACTACTGGCTAAGATGACCTTGAAGGTACGAGCAAAGAATATAACCTCCCACGCAGAAAACTGCTATAACTGAGTCACAAGAGAATTAGAACCCTAGGAGAATGTACAGTATGGTGTACCACCACAGTAAAGGGAGGTTTTTCAGATAAAAGAAACAGCCAATTTGCAAAATGCTGGCAACCATGTCTTAAAGGCTTAAATAAGGTACCAACTAATACCTTTTTCAAGTTGCAATCTGACATGTAAATAAAAAATAAATGAAAATGAATAAATAACTTCCTTCTTCAGTGCAGCTGGAGAAATCCAGCCCCTTTGATTTTGTTGCCGCTTCCACTGAAGCACATTGTTCTGTCTCTTCTGAAGTCAGCGTCTCGTTTTTGTTTAATTTCAACAACACGGTGCCCAGTAAAGAATAAGTTATTGTTAGGGGAAAAAAAAAGAAACCATAATCTGTCTTTAGAAAATATGATTATTCTCCCTCTTATTATTGTGAGCATGAATCAAAGTAGTTTTTAAAAAGAAAAATACAAAAGATAATAACGTGCACGGGAAGGGAAACAGAAAACAGACAGTTACTTTGTCCCAAATGGTCGTTCTGTTTTTACAGTTTTCACTTTGAATACAATTACTCCACAACAATAGAAATAAATGTGAATGCACCCACTTTGTTAAAGCTCCTTGGTCATGCAAATTACTTGTTTATAGAGTAAAAACGTTGATGGTAAACCTCATAGGGACAAAGTTAATCCCACTTATCAAATGTTCAGCGTCTAAACAAAATTTCGATTTGGTCAAAAAAATGACAGTGAAGTGTCTATAAAATGTGCACCTTTAAAAGAGAAACCAGCAAAGTCATCAAATACCTAACCCAGATCTTTCTTGTTATGCTTAGCACCACATGACCATGCCACCAAGTTTATGAATACAATATCTTGAGAACAAGGTGCTGTAGGATTTTCAAACTGATGCCATTAGTGCATCTCCTAAAATCTCTGACATGTTCAAATGTTGGTCACGTTTTTTGAAAATCTTATGAACACGATAAATCGAGAAAGATGTCACCTAGGATTTTCAAATTTATACCATACGAGTTTCAGTCTCAAAATCATCAGAGGTCAACTTTTCTGAAAATCACCTAGTATTATCAAATAATACCACAGGTGAATCTGCTTGGAGGCTGAGGGCAGCAGCACTGGCAGTGTTTTTTGACCAGTAGCAATCATTGGAAGCTATGAGATTATGATTTTGATAATGATCTTTATTTATTGCTTTCCAATGTACTGTTCTTTCTCTTGGTGTTTTACACCCTGGACAAAGGCCTCACACCATGCCACACCTTTACTGTTTTCAGTAGTAGCTAACTGTTTAAGCAGTATAAAGGTTTTCTATTAGGTTTGATATTAGGTTTTTCACACACATAACGGACATGCGAACCAGGGTTCATAAAGGTGTCATGAAATGATGACTGCACTGGTACAATCAGAGGTTACCAGGCAGCATACATTCAAGCTTAGAGCCAAATTATTATTATTATTATTAACCTTTATTTAACCAGGAAAAGTCCCATTGAGATTAAAAACCTCTTTTTCAAGGGAGTCCTGGCCAAGAGGCGACAACATGTTGAAATTACAAAGTTAAATTACAAAGCATGACCCATTTCTAAGACTGAACATCTGCATAAA